AAAAAAAAACATAGCTAGAGTTGTCACAGAGTTGCATTGGCTTCAGTTTATTAAGTTTATTCAGTGAAATCGCTGGAGAAATTTCTCAGAAATAGTTGCGTTCCAGATGCTTCACGATTTGCAGGTTTTTACAGGAAGTCGTTCCAGGTGACCACCTCCCATAAGGTTTATTAATGGAGAAAACAGCTGTTCCTGCAAATCGTGAATTTCGTGAATATCGTGAAGCATCTGGAACGCAACTAAAGTGTAAACGAGTTTCCATACAAATTTTACCAGTTCATTTATAAGGTTTACACAATTATAAGTTTATACGGTTTACAATGCATTTATAAGGTTTGATGAATACCCTTAATGTCTTCTTTTTCAGTGTTTTTGTTGCACGGCCAACCGCTTTTCTACCTCCAAGTTTGACCAAGTGAGCCACATTGACTCCAGTACGTTTGTCGCGAGCACATCCATCTGGTCGAAGAAATGTGGCTGCGGACGGGAAAATTTTGGTTTGGCATCCCCGCGTACAAAAAAAGGTGGTTATGGGGGGGCGGGCGGTAAGGGTGTTCTCCTGATTGCAAATATATATACTTTTAGCCTACGGAGGCTTATAGCTTTTAAGTTATTTGTTGTTAAAGTTTGTAAATTGAGCTAACCTCTCGGTGCTATTTCACACAATAAACACTATTAGGGTATTTTTAAGGTGTGCTATTTGTCGTATTTGTGCTATCTGTTATTGTTTTAGCACACCTGTATTAAAATTGTTGTTGTTTCGTAAAGGAATATGGAATAGCACAATACAACTGCGAATCCTATGTATGCGGAATATTATGTTTTGCTATTTCAACGTGATATTCGACCAGCTCTTTTTGTTTACATTTTTCTTCTTACCTTTGGCGCCAAAATAAATTAAAAGTTGACAAAATCTGAAATGGAGATAAATTTGAATAATCAGTTAAGTTGTTATAGAATTAACGCAAACTATTGTTGGTTTGTTCAGGTTTAGATTCGAACTCAGAAAGATTTAAATGGATTTGTTTAATAAATAATTAAAGAAACCAACGGCGAAAGCATTCCACACGCTTCTTGGAGGAGTCTCTAAAGGCATTAGACTGGAAATGAGTACGATCCAAGGTGAGGAACATGCGTGTGAACTACAACACCGCTAAGCAATGGGAGGGCTCCACTGGTGCGGGTAGTATGGATGGAGACACTATTAAAAGTAAAGTTTTGATGTTTATTGAATTCTCAGTCTGACTATGAAAACTAAAATTCTAAATTTCTTAGGCCCTTTAACAAAAATGTTTAGTTTTTATGAATTTGATGACATATTCGGAAGCACACTACAGGTGCCGTCCATAATTGAGGAAACTCTACATAGCGAGGTAGAGAACTTTGATATTTTAAATATTGAGTATCTACCTGACGCACAGGATCCTATGAGCAACTTAAGTCCAGATATCCAGTACCTTCCTGACGCTCAGGATCCGATGAGCATTTCAAAGCCGATTAGCAATTCTTCAGTGGTAAATGAAAGTCTGTCAGAGGTAAAATGTACTCCAAGCACAAGCCGTAGAGGCATTTATAGCATAACTGCACTTTCTGATATAATGAAAGAAAAGTTGCAAATAATGGAGTTGGAAATGAAAGAGCGTCTAGCTAGGGTAGAATTACACTTAAAATACGAAACTTAATTTGCTTTTGTTTATTCAAAAAATTGATTTTGAATTACGATTTTTTCTACCTATTTTCCTTATAAAATATACACAAGTGTCTCATTTTAAAAATAACATTTTCTAGTCTGGAAAAAGAACTGAATAGAATAAAAGGCATTCTAATATATCTACACCTATGAGCGAGATAATAGCAGTGGGACATTTTGACCAGTATATTATCATTAGTAGTTTAACTATTTTTCTTTCAATTGATTAATGTTGCCAGCCAAAGTATCACCACTCTGCAAGTATTCAAAAATAGCACCGGTAGCGCCTGCCGTAGTACTCCGGACGAGCAACCAACAACCAGCAAATCGGCGGCCGTTGCAGGCAGCAATCCCGCCTCTAAGAAAAGGAAATCCTCGGGCGTGGTCATGAGACAGATGTACCAGAAGGCGCTAAATATGTTAAATAAAATTGACAAAAATGCCGCGGCTGGTACGGTTCATGAGCGTGACGAGGAAGACAAGGCAAAATACATGCAAATAGTGGAAGAGTATGAAAAGTTACAGACAGATCGTGCAGCCACAATCGAGGCCACCGAAGCAAAGAAACGGAACCGCTCTCATAATGAAGGCGGCCAAGGGGCCATTACAAAGAAGGCTAAGCAAGGAGGTGATGCGGAGTCCGCAGCACCCGCGAAGCATCGCTGTTTTAGTGACGTCGCCAGAGATCACCTACAGGCGGCGATAATAGATGAAAATAGCAAGACACCGCTGGCAGTGCAGCAGAAATGGGTGGAGATTGATGTGAGGCTGTCGAGCCTCGTAATGAACTACGTACTCGACAACCCCGAAGGTCCTCACCCAGAGTTCGACTCGTCGGAATCCCTACGGGGATACCGGGTAGTCAAGTGCGCGAACCAGTTCTCCCTGGATTTCCTTGCTGGATGCGTCGCTAAGATCAGCGACACTTTTGTCGGCTTGAAGCTCAAGCTGATCCCAGCTAAGGACATTCCAAGGAGACCACGTGCGCGCATTTGGCTGCCTCCGATGGATGAACCAGGCGAAAAGTTGCTGCGGTGTCTTAAGCTGCATAATAAAGACATACCGGCGATCGAGGAATGGGAGCTTATAAAGGTTGAAGAGCCAAGAAGGCCTACAAATAAGCCCATTCTGCTAGCTATTTGCGCAGAATCACTGGACGCCTTAGAGAAGGCTGACTATCGGCTCTGCTTCGGTATCCGTAAGGCTAGAGTGCGGGTATTCCTCGGAGAGGTTAGCCCGGTAGAAGAAGATCCCGGGGTTGATGGAGCTGGTGAGCTTCTCATGGGTGTGAAGCTGACAGATGACCCTGAACCGGAAACTTAAAGTAGCCCAAATAAATCTGCAGCACTCCAAATGTGCTACAGATAATCTAGTTGTCCTTCTCAGTGAGGAGGATATAGACATAAGCCTAATTCAAGAGCCCTGGGTCAAGCACGATACAGTCGTGGGACTAAACATAAATAATTATAAACTATACTATAAGAGCAAGGTGGGTAAACCGCGGGCGTGTATTCTTATCAAGAACGGTATAAATGCATTCCTTTGCTCTAATTTCAGCACATCAGATACAAAAATGGTTAAGGTGGAGACCACCGGACAGCCAAGTATACTCCTGGCCTCATCATACATGGCCCACGATAGGGACAGTCCGCCAACCGAAATCAAGGGGATAATAGCCAAAAACCACAGACAAATTATAGTTGTCGGCTGCGATGCGAATGCAAGGCATCCAGTATGGGGTAGTTCTACGGAGAACGACCGAGGTGAGTCTTTACTACACTTCTTATTAAATACTAACTTAAGCATCTGCAATAGAGGTAATACACCCACACTCATATTCCCGAGTTCAAACCGGTTTCCTGGATGGGAGGAGGTGCTGGATCTAACCCTGTTGTCAGAGAACGACAGCGTNCCATACACCTCCTGGATGGGAGGAGGTGCTGGATCTAACCCTGTTGTTAGAGAACGACAGCGTGTCTGTAGAAGAGTGGAGAGTATCTGATAGGCCTTCAATGTCTGATCACCGTCTGATCTTCTTTAATCTGCACGAAATTTGCAACACCCCCTCGAAATACAGAAATCCCCACAGGACTATTGGTAAAGATAAAGTAACACACTTAAGCGTAAACTAAGTAAGCTCCCACTAAATACAACTGTCACTACAGTTGAGGACCTTGATAATAGAGTAAATAAACTAAGAGGTTATGAAGAAAGCCTTTGAAAGATCAACTCCAGTTAGTACAGCAAGAAAGAAATCCCCACCCTGGTGGAATGGGGATCTCAGAGCCCAAAGAGACAAAATAAGGAAAATCTACAATGATTTCTTTAGAACTAAAAACTGGGCGCCTTATAAAAACGCCCTAAGATCTTATAAAAAGGAATTGAGAAAATCTAAAACTAAATCCTGGCAATCTTACTGCTCTTCTATAGAGAACTCTAAAGACTCAGCCAGGCTCAGCAAAATCCTATCAAAAGAACACACAAATATCACACTCATTAAGGGAGAAAACGGGGTGTGGACGAACACAGCTAGTGATTCTCTAAACACGTTAGTCAAGTTCCATTTCCCGGGATGTATTCGACATCCACCCACATCAGGGCCAATTGAACCTGGTTCAAATAGCAGTATACTGTTGAACTCGATCGTGAGCAGGGAAAAGATTATTTACGCTATCAACAGCTTCTCTCCCTTCAAATCCCCTGGACCAGATGGCGTAATCCCAGCAATGCTTCAGAGGGTGAAGGAAGAGATAGCACCGTTACTTGAGACTATTTTTAAGGCTACTATTACCTTGTGCTACATTTCTAAAAGCTGGAGAAGGGTAAAAGTCGTGTTCATACCCAAGCCAGGAAGGGAAAACCACGAAATAGCAAAAGACTTTAGACCCCTAAGCCTTACCTCCTTTGTGCTTAAAACAATGGAAAGGCTTCTCGACATTTATATAAGATCGCTGTTAGGTGAAGCGACACTCTCAACAGCACAACATGCATACATCAAAGGCAGATCCACTGAATCTGCTTTACATGAAGTGGTGAGCTTAATAGAAAAATCGTTGCACTTTAAACAATATACAGTATATTTTGCTTAGCTGCACATCCTTCTATGCACTAAAAACTTGTGCACTTAACCGAAAAAGGCACTTAAACGAATTTTCTTTACTACTTCAATGACAAAGGCATCCGAATCCCTATGAAACCAAATAATGGAGAAGCACTTACCACGTAGAAATTACTGCAAGCGAAATTTTTACCGAATGGTATCTAATTATCTATATAACTACATAAATTGATAACAATTTTCGTTGTTCTGCGAGATGAACAAAATAAATAAAAGCTTGTAAAATAAGGTAATTGTAGGGCCAGTGCAGGTAAACGTAATACTTTCTTTGATAATTGATACTAGTTGCACAATTTTTAAGGCAGGTAACGCCAATGTGCAGGTATGTTGAATGCATCTATCGGAGCAGTTTTCTTATAAATGTTAAAAATAATGCCTCTGATGCGCATTTTGGGGTAGGTATCTTAAATGTGCACTTAAGCATAAAGGCAGCAAAGCAAAATATACTGTACTCTGGCGGCATTTCTTGACATCGAGGGCGCATTTAATAACATTGAAGTTGACACCATCATAGACTCTTTGATAGATATTGGTGTTGACGACAGTGTTTGTAGATGATTACGATCGATGCTAGTCAATAGAATCATTCAGGCAACAAATGGGGCTAACTCTATTATACATCATGTGAACAGGGGCACTCCACAGGGCGGAGTGCTCTCACCACTGCTATGGGTGATAGCCCTGAACGGTATATTGCTAGAACTCAATAGAGGGGGAGTCAAAGTTGTGGCGTATGCGGATGATGTTGTAATAGCAGCCACAGGTCCATTCCTCTCTACCGTTAGCGAAATCCTTGAAGGAACCCTGGGATGGCTACACGCCTGGGCTACGAGAAGCGGCCTAAATGTGAACCCTGCCAAGACAGAACTTATCCTATTTACAAACAGACACAAACTACCACAATTCAAGCTACCATCGCTAGACGGCAAGGCACTCTCACTGTCCCCCAGCGCAAAGTATCTTGGAGTCGTGCTGGATAACAAACTTAACTGGAAAACCAGTGTCGAATTCCGTAGACAGAAGGCCTACATAGCATACTACACTTGCAAGAGAATCTTCAGTAGAAACTGGGGACTAAATCCTAAACTTGTGATGTGGATGTATACCGCGATCATAAGACCAATTCTAACATACGGCGCCTTGGTTTGGTGGCCCGGCCTAAGCAGACAATATAATGTCAGCAAGCTAAGAAGCATACAAAGGGCAGCAAGCGCAGGAGTAACAGGGGCACTAAGATCCTGCCCGGCAGAAGCTTTAAACGCCATCCTCAATTTAATTCCTATTGATCTCCACCTGAAAGAAGTGGCTATGAAATCGGCGGTCAGACTCAGAGAGTCGGGCCTTTGGAGGACTAGACACTTCGGACATGGGTTGATCATAAATCAAATGCAATTAAATAGGACGACAGATTATATGGTAGGCAATTTGGACTTCAGCTGTAACGTGCAAGTGCTATTCCCATCCAGAAGGGACTGGAGAAGAGACCGAGTGGCCGACCGAGAAAAGATCTCTCTATACACCGATGGATCCAAGATGGATTGCGGTGTGGGAGCAGGTGTCTACTCCAAGGAACTCGGCGTGGCTCTGTCTCTACGGTTGGGAAATAATACAAGCATCTTCCAAGCGGAAGTCCTAGGGATCCTAGAAGCCTGCAAAATCCTAGGCAATAGAGTTGGACACAGGAGTAAAGCAACAATATACTCTGACAGCCAGGCGGCGCTATTGGCAATAGCGTCACCGGTTACCAAATCCAAGCTAGTTGGGGAATGCAAAGTAATATTGCGCTCAGTGTCTCAGTCAAATACCGTCTCTCTTGTCTGGGTTCCCGGACATAGGAACATAGAAGGCAATGAGAAGGCGGATGAGTTGGCGAA